TATAACACTTTAAATATCAACACTTTCTCTTACATCATATTTTTTTTTTTATTATATTACGATCCATTTCAATTATTAACCATCTCTTACAGCCAAGCCGTTGCTTTACTCACCTTGCTCAATTTATATTTACACTAGTATTTTAAGGCAGGCATATGTTTACCTATTCTGCTACTGGCTACGAATCCAGTGATAATTAGCCTTAGATTTCTATTATCGGTTAATGTACGGTCATTTTTTTTGGAATTCCTTGAAAATTATGATTTTAGTTTTTAATAAAAAGTTTATAATGTTCGCTTAAATTCCGCCTAACATTGATTTCCGCTAGCCACAGCATGTAGAGGTTCAAAGGGGTCATTTGCATAATTGTTTTTGGATATAAATGACCAAGGATGGGTGGGCCAATACTTCCTCAACACCATCAGGGGAATACCAGAGGTGTGTTCACTTGTGTTACGTGGTCTGCCAACCAGCGATCCTTTTGTTAGTCATATTCATGTATCTCTTTACCGGTTTTTTTTTGGCTTCCCCACAGCACGCTTTAACTTTAAATAATAAGCTTAATGAAAGGCCGTATGATTGGAGAGACCTCGAACACCACCCACTAGCCGACGAGCCCGAGCCGGAACATATAGCGTGCGCTCTCCAACATACACACACCATCTCGCCTACTCTACTGGGATATGTCCTATACCCGTTACAGTTTATTTATTAATAGTGTTTCAAATACACTTTAATTGAAGCGCAAAGGCAGCAACAGCCGAAATGGGAGTGCAATTTCGTGGAGTAGTACGAGTAATTCCTTTTTCATTTCATTCATTTCATTTTTTGTTCTAAAACAATTCATCAATATTGAGAACTATTTTAAGAAAGTACACATAACCTGTTTACTAATATTCATCATCAAACTTTAGACGAAATGAACCTAAAAAATATTATTCTTTTGCAAATATGAATTCGAAATTAACTTTCTGATTGCAAAAGCTGTATTTAATATATAAATATCAAATACTTTTTCGACTCTGCAGTCACCCCAACGCACTAGCGAGACGGCTGCTCTCCAGACCCAGGAAGAGAAGACTGAAGAAGTCCTTGTGTAAAATATATAGAATAAAATATCTTAAATATATATCCTATTAAATCTAAAATATTGTAAATATATGTACTATAGACAACTGTTGTATTCCCCATTAATGTTCAACTAGCTTAAGCTTTATATCGTACTATATGATATATGTGTTTAAAAATATTTCTAGTTCAGAACTAGAAAACAGTTTTCATTGGCAACAACAAGAGTATTGTCATTATTATTTTCTTACATCTCTCTTGTTTTTCTCTTTTCTATGAAATACAAGTGCCCGTAAGTGGATCTGTGTGGAAAATGAGTGTAATAAAAACTGTAGCCTACTTTTCGGCGACCACTACTTCGGAATGCACATTTATTTTCCAAATGCTAGCCAACCCCACACAAAATCAACTAACAAAGTGCCTCTCATTTAGTTGCACAATAATTAATGTGTACAACTGTTTGACAAATTATTTAATTATAAATTACATGCCCGGCAGAACACAAGCGAAGGCCGGAACATAGAATGGCAGACAATTAAAAAGAGACGCAAGGCAATTGTTTATATTTACACAAATGCTAAACAGCTTGGCAGACAAACATTTAATGTTGGCATCTAAATGCGTTGTTGCAAAACACAGCAGTTGAGCAGGTGTTCAACATTAAATCAAGCAGATAAAAGATATACATAAAACATGTGAAATCCGACTTGTCAATTAAGTTATTAGTTGTAGGCATATAAACGTGAGGCGGCAATAAAAATATTAACATAAAACGCACATAACTTTGGCACACACATAGGCACACTTTTATGGCACTTATGCGCGTGTGTGTGTGTGAATGACAGTCGCAAAAACAAAACAAAAATAAAACTAGGCACGGAGGCACACTAATTCCGTCAAGTGGACTTTGTTTTAAGGCAGTCAGCTAGGCACACACATTTAATTAACAATTGGCAGTCGCTTGACAGTTGACTGAACAAACACGGACGCACATGCATATGTGTACATATATACGTATATAATGTTTGTCCAGCCTTAAGCTGACTATATAAACAGTGACAAGTTTGCGGCCACAACATCAATAAAAACTTGCCATACGTATCTTATCTATTTTACGCTTTGTAACTTGTTCACAACTTTTTGCTGGCGGTCTGCAAAGTTTTTGCTTTTTCAAAAAGGTCAAACTGCGTTGGCTCACTTGCGATTGACCTGACCAGCGAACCGGCCAAACGACACACTGACCAGCCACTCAACGAGCCAATCTAACGAATATGCTACCCATTTCTACAACATATAGTTGTATGTTATTCCTGTGTAACAAACTGTCATTTCTGTTGTTTTCTGTCAATGCTTTTGTCAATTTGAACACGTGCACATCACACACACAGTCACACACATATTCGCCACACCCTCTTCACTTGTACATACATGTTGGTTATGTGTTTTTGTGCGTGGCTATTTTGTTGTCCCTGCTGCGGTTTTATGTGTTGCCACTCGCAGGAAAATTGTTGTTCGCCCTGTTTGTGAATGTAGTGGCGAGTGGCAAACAACTACGATTCATGTACAACATGCGCCTCAGCACGCAAAAACACACAAATACATGTGCACATCATATTTTCCGCATATGCACCATAAAGAAAAAACTTTAAAAAAAACCAAAAAAAAAATCTAGGGAAAAATCTCGCGCTTATGACTCTTTTTGCATTGCATTTCGCAAGCGCAGTCACCATTTTTTTTGCTCATTTTTATGAATGCTGAGCTTTAACTTTACAGCATATGTTTTGTATTTTACTTTTTGGGCCAAACAGAAACTATTTTGAAAATTATACAATACACATACATACATGCACAGTGCTATGGGCCAACACTCCCACACATTTATGTAGCTGCTTGTTAATGAGTTTTTCTGTTTGCCATTTTTTTGTGTGTGCCAACTCTGCCTTTTATGCTGGCAAATGTAATTAGAAGCTCATAGAAAAGTTGCAGTCATTAATCAAAAGCAGCCGCAGTGTCAAAAAATTGTCTGCACCCAAACGAAAAATACTTTTGACCGCGCTAAGCGGCAGAAACCTCATACGCCCTGTGGTACAAGAGGTTCCTAATGGGCATGGGCAGACAAATTAAATTTTTGCACGGTCTGGCACAAGTCAATTGAGTGTTTAGTGAATGAGAATAGTGGGGTAGAAATGAGCACATTTGTAATTTCAAGCCACACAACTTTTTCACTGACTCTGCACAGGCGAACTATTTGTTTTGACATGACCTTTTTGTTATTATCTTAAACTATTTCAGTGCGGTTGTTTTAATTACAAGTTACATTTATGCTTTTCGTCAGTGAATGAAATATAATAAGAGTATATGTTCATATGTTTCCATAAAAGGGAAGCATCTTCCATTGAGGCGGTCAAAAGCAACTACGGATGACTTATGCTGATATTTCCCTTCAATAGACTAAGCCGGAAGTATTTACAGATTGAAAATGCGTTCAAAGACCTCATCAATTGCTGACCAACAAACAACTCCCAGGATTTGTCATTGCTGCACTCAACAGCTTGCCTTATTTCAACTGACTTTTGACCCCTGGGTCGAAATATAAACACATCCAATTTGTCAATAACCACGTGAGACCAGTATTCGCATCTAGATGGGCAAGAGCGGCCAATGAATAGACAATTTGTTCTTGTTCATTTTGTTAAGAATCGAATAAATACATAACATACACAGCATTTTATGAGCAGTATTGCTGTATTATGAATGATCAAAGCATATTTACTTCTTTACAGTCGATTAAATTAATTTGTTTAGTTTCGCGAACATTAATTTAAAGGGTGCACCAAACAATCGAAAACAAACAAATAAGCAAAAGTTTTTAAATTTTTTGCTCTCTAAATGACTACCTTACTAGGCAAACAAAAAAATAAAAGAAAACGGCCCAATTTAAAATTAAAGAACATCAAATTCTATTGGAATTTGTTTTTGTCAAAAAAACGGCAGCTGCGGCGCATTTTTTCGCTTACAAACACCGTTCAGTTTACTCTTCAATCAATTTGTTTTTTATCACATCCGCATCCGCACAAATAAACTGTTCACATTTGAAAGCAACACTTTTGCCAGTTTCCGGCACTGTTTGATATTTGAGTTGCGTATGAAGAAACAAGAGAAAAAAATAGAGCTCTAAATCTAAAAATGATAGCAAAAACTATGATGGAGGAGAGCAACTACAAAAAAATGCAACAAACTTGACACACAGAGAAAAAATGTGGTTCGATGTTTGGATTGGGTTCAGTTCGGTAGGGTAGAGGGGAGTAAAATTTGCAATCAAAGTTGAACTTTTTTCCAAATCAAGTGTTTGGCTGAAGCTCTTTGCCAGTGCCGCTAGAGTTTGGGCAACATTTCTCTGCGTTTCAGCTTGCAAATTGAAAAATCAAAATAGTTTCAAAATCAATTAAAAGCAATTTAGAGTCTACCAGCAGTCAGGAGGCAAGAGGCAGGCAGTCAGTGCGGCTAATTGAAGCCGAAACTTTTACCAACTACATAATTAAGCTTCAAGTCCTTGCCATACGCAGAGCAAAAGCAAATTGTTTCTCAAATTATAATGTATTTAGATTTCTATAGATACACACGAGTATATATATGTATGTATGCATATATATAGTGTATTGCTTCAGGTTTTTGTAGAATGAATGCATCAGAATTTCAATCGCTTTTCATTTTCGGTAAGCTGCTTAAATGTGCTTTTGATCCCCATGGATAGTGGCTGGAGGAAACATCTGACCAAGGCAATCCTAGCTAACATGATGGCCACGTTGCACGTGATGCGCATGAGGAGAATATTCAAATGTATTCCTAATGCCAAAAAGTGATAAACAAGCAGAAAATTGTCAGGCTACGACCAAGGAAAGGTCGACAACTATAGCCAAATTGTCGACGCAATGACAATGAAAATGGAGGTGGTGGTGATGGTAATGGTGAAGGTGGGTACCGAGAGGAAAATGAAAACGGTAATAGCGGCTAGTCATGTAGATGGACAGTCGGACATCTCAGTATTCGGGCACTGGAGGGCTGGACAATTCAGCAAAATTATTTATTTATAAAAGACGACGCACTTGGGTTGCTCGACAATATGTGACCGAAATTAAATGGAAATTACTAACTTATATATATAAACATACATATATAAGCCAATTATAGCGACATTGCAATCGTAAACGATTAGGCACGTGTGACCACGGACTTTAAACATTTACCTCAATATGTGTAGGCTTAGAAGCTTTGCGATGCTAGCAAATTAAGTATAATTGACATATGCCACACGTGTGCATAAATCCTGCCATGACATTCACTGTAAAGCAATATATGCGACTACATGCTCAGAATTCCACAAATGGAATAATACTTATATCTAAACCATCTAAATGTCAAAGGTTGTTTGCACGTGAAGAAGAAGGTAAGGACGGCAAGTCCATTAGCATCCATATTTTAAGATTCACGTCTAGAAAGCTCTTTAGTTTTTGACTTAGACCTAGGTTGCAGACAAAAACTAACTCAATTTCTTTGGCTGGGCATCACAACAGAAAATGGATGGCATTACTTAAATATATACCTGGAATAGGGCTGTAAACTTTCTAAAAGTCCATGTCGAAAAGTGGCAATAACTCTGATGCCAAATATGAAAATTAATTAAATTTTACCTAAATAATAAATAAGTTTTAAAAAAACCTTCGATGGAAATACTATAAATAATTAAGCGGCAAAAATATGAAATGAAAATGTTTGGTGTTTCACATATTTTTGTAAAGCATATAAATACTGAATATTCTTCAACCCATATTCTTTGAAAATATTAATAAACATATTAACAGAACTTTGCAACAATAACATAGGGGCTTCATTCATGTGATACACGTTAGTTTTTGAAATAAAAATCTGTTGTTCCCTACCACTAGAAGTCTTTAGAGGCCCACGTTATTTTTCATCTTTGAATGCTCATAATAAATTGAAATTTGTACACACAAAGCGAAATCAATTTCCAATTAAATAAAAACAACACGGAAAAGCTAAACACGATCATCAAATGAATTTACCATTCCTTTCTTCGAATATATCTCTATATACCACAAAGGCGCTTGTACAATATTCACATGCACATCCAACGAGCTTAGTCACTTTTTCTATTGCCAAGTTTCGTCTTTTAACGTTGAACTGCCACCCACTTTATTAATACCTAAGCAAAAAAAAAATATATACATAGCACACTTATTTGATTTACTATGCAATGCACGCCTCTAGAACACGCCCACGAACATAACATTGGGCGTACAGTATATGTTGGCATGTTAGAAAAAAGGAGGGAAAAATTAAACTACGCAGCGCCCGTAAGTATGCAATGGCAGGTTAATAACCGACATGGCACGAAAACTAATTGCAAAACATTTACCGAAGGACCAACCTAGCGACCAACTGACCAGCTTGTTGGCCACACAAGCCCCTAAAGGAAGCATAAAGTGTGCAGCAGACAGCAAAGTTGCAGCTTAGATGTTTGTATTTGCATTTGTATGTAAGGATGTATGCATGTTGGATAAATGGCAGCTACAAAAAGAAAAGAAAAAATGGTTGCATAATTTGCAGCGAAAATTAAGCTTAATTACAGGCAACATTTTGAGCTGGGTAAGGCAGATGCCAACAGAACTTTCCATTTAGAGCAACGGACTTTTAAATTGTAGCATAAGTGGCACCTAATGCCAGTAACAAGCCCAGCACTTTAATTTCCCCCTTCAGTCATAAGTAAACGATTAATAGAGCTGCATAAACTTATAAGCCTCACACAAATTCTTAGCTAAACATCTGAAACAAATTGCTCCGTCCAACTCTTTCTCATCAAAAAATAACCATATAATTAATTAATATATATAATTAATTTCATATAATTAATGTCACAATTTTTGCCTATGGTTTGCTCAACAAATTAATTAAAAATGAAAACAATATTTCCTAAAATATAATTTTCAAACATATAATTTGAAGGCGATTTATCCAATATTTATTTCAATAGTTTTTGCTATTTGTTGTTTTTAAGTGGAATTTCATACTTTAAATATTTTGGTACCGAATTTCAAAAAATAAATTTAAAGTAACGGTGAATGACGTTTGTCTTGTAGTTATTCTTAGAGTACATACACAAACCAAGATAATCAGATGAAAAATAAAATTTGTTTTATTTATAAGATATTATATTTATACATTTGTTTTACATTTAAATATTGCAGTCTCTTTTTCACCAATCAGTCAATTATTTTACACATATGATGAGGATGAGAAGTATATTTAAAATGATGGCCTACAAGCATTTTTATAGGCATATAAACCACTTAATATTTTACCTTAATTTACAATTAAGTTTATTTAGACAAGCTGATATAAACTTTTCGTGCAGTGTTTTATACAAACCCTACTCCATCTTTTTAACTTCGAATATAGAGAAACAATTAAACAATATCATTTAAATTTATATATCCATTTAAATCCAAATAAAGATTCTTTAAATTAATATTTTTTAGAATAGAACATTGTGTCCAAATTGATTAAATAATATATTCCCAATCGGAAGGATCCATCCAATTTACTTGTTATTGGCACCTACTTGCTCTGAGTCGAGGGCTTTCGATACCTCAAAATAGAATCAATCTAGCTTTATTGAAATTGTGAAAAGCTATTGATACAAGATTATTAACAGCACCATCGCCGGATCAATTTGAAATCAGCTTTTGCATAAAAGTGGAAACAGCAACAAAAGCCAACTTCCTAAGTACTCGACTTAAGTGGTGCAAGCAAAATAACTTAAAAGCCACAAAGTGGCTGGCAAAAACTATTTAAGTTTATGCGATAAACACAATAAAAGCACACCAAAAGACAAGCCCCCCATCCTCACCGCACTCCTCCCCCAACCCCTTTCGCTGACACATGAATGAGGGCAGGGCTTGGCATTCGCATACGCAACAGCTGCAACAACAAAAACAAAAACAACAACAACGACAAAGGCTACGACCGCAAACAAAGCGCGTGCCATCGTTCTCACCCAACTTCTTGTGATGATGGTCTCCATTATCTCCTTTCTTCGTAGTGTTCTCGCTCCTTGTGTGTTGCATACTTATAGGCAAGCACCACATTATAGTATCAAGTGCGTGTGTGTGTGTGTGTGCGTGCTTGTGGGTGCCTTCGTGCGTGAATGGAAAGTACAGTTATGTAATTGCGGTAATTAAAAACGCGCAGTCAACTTTGAAGCCATCTCAGTCTTTCAGTCTATTATCATATTTCATGTTAGAGCACCTCTTCAGATTTTTTTCCTCATGAATATACAAATGCACACTCACACATGAGATAACAATAAAGCTAAATTGCAGAAAAAGTTGAAAAACATAAACATAAACAAACCAAACGTCTGTTTGCTCTCCCACGCATGCCAATTACAATTTGTCACTCATGGACTCACTTAAATGTTCACCGTTTTAGCTGTTTATTTAATTTTTTTGGCATGCTAATTGATTGGTGGCAAGTCATTCATGCAGTTTAGTTTAAACAAGTGAATATTAAATTGCAAGCAAATAAATGCAAATTGAACTAAACAAATAAAATTTTCAATGAATAGAGCGTGAAGTTAAAATAAAACAAAAAACGAAGAGCATTGTTTCAAATGCAATTTAAAAAGTTCAAACAAATTGTTCCCAATGGTCAATAAATGTAGAGATATTGTTAGTCAACTTGTTCTCCAAATTATATGTAGTATAGCTAGTTTTATTAGCGCTATATAAAATACATTTAAAAATATATATAAATATACATTTTAAGTTAAGCTAGTCATAATTACAGATCAGAAATTTAAATTCGATAGTCAGATTATAAGTGTTGGCTTCTAATAAAAACGTCTTTGTGTTAATTGTGAGTTCCGTAAGCAATATTTGTTGATTGGGGTCAATAATTGAGGATCGTATTTATGTTTTTTGAGCGACTTTATTTTCACTGATTAATGTAATTTTGTGAACCCAATGGATCCAACAGAATTGGCTTAATTAATCAAATTAAGTGCATCAGAAGTTCCAAATAAAACGAAACCATTCATTACGAACCATTTAAAGATTTGAAATGCTTGTGCATTTAAATTTGATTTCAAACTTGCAATATATTGTGATTCCATAAACAGACATAACGAAAAACAGCAGAAACTTTAATGCTTTTCCATAAAAACACGCTTAATGACTAGCTCTGAACGGAAGAACTTTTTTTTGAGTTCTTAAGTATTTCGAATTGGAAACTTATAAAGAAAAGAACAAGCACTGAACAGGATTGCGATAGACTGAACAAAAGTAAATAGGATATGCGAACATGTAGGGATCTTAAGACAATATAATTAAAAGAACAGTTTGGTAGAAGAATTTAACTTGCATACTTCAATCGTTTTGATTAACAGCAGCTAAAGTTGTAATAGAGTATCCTCAAGGGAGGTGGGAGCTGGGTTAATACTACTACCATTATATCCCCAAGTTGAGATAAATTTAAATTGAATTGCTTGCAAACAGTCTAATCACTACAAAAATAAATTGCCCAAATTAAATTTCAAAACTGATTTGCCGCAGTATATTTATTTTGTTATTTGTATTTCCCAGGATCAAGCCAATCAGTCAATTTTTATAGCCTGTACCCAAAGGGTGAAAGGCTATACTAGTTTTGTGCGCATGTATGTAACACACAGAAGGAGGCGTGGCAGACCCCACAAAGTATATATATTCTTGATCAGGATGAGAAGCCGAGTCGATATAGCCTTGTCCGTCCGTCCGTCTCTCCGTCTGTCTGTCCGTCTGTCCGTATGAACGCAAGGATCTCAGAAAGTGTAAGAGCTAGAATAACCAAACTTGGTTTCCACATTCTCCTAAGACCGAGAAAGTACGAGTTTGAGTTTTTTTTCGATGCACCCCCCCCC